CCTTGAAGGAGAGGATAGTATTTGAAAAAAAGAACTTATCTTGTGCTCCATCTCGCAACCGCCTGTATTATATAGCGGGTCTTCGAAATTTCTGTGAGATGGTTGACGAGATGATGAGCTTATCTTGCTTTCGAAACAAAGTTCTCAAAGCATGCGCTACTCTAAATCATTGTAGAATAATCACGTAATGTTTTTTGGTCGCATAAGAAGCAGTCATAGATCTACAAGTTCGCGCTGCCAACAGTGTATATTCTAGATGCAGCCTGCGTCGTCAAACTCTTCAAAGAGACAAGGTAATGGCATAGAGGAAGTCGATGAAAAGGAACCCAAGGTAACAGTTGTTTGTCTTCCGTTGCGAAGCATTAGCAAGGAATTGAAATTTTTCTTTTCAAAACCTGATTGGCTTTTTATTCCTTTTGGGCCGATCGAACACGGGCATAGTAAATTAGTGTGAAATGTTCTCTCGATGCAGTTATAACGCAAATTTGTTGTTTTCTAGAAAACTCAAGTAACTTCTGTTTCAGGAAAGCTCGCACGACAGCATCCGCGAGGAACAAGTTCACCCTGAACTTTCATCTCATTAGTTCTTGTAACATAGTTTAAAGCTCAATTTTTTATATACGTGATGCACTGCATTGTACTTTACCGGTTCCATTGCTTTCCCCTCATAGTATTGACTCTGTAAATATGTTTTGCCGTTCCTGCTTTAGTATGGAACCGAATGCCTGGTTAAGACACGGGATGACTACCACGTTGCTTAAATCGAGTTTTGTCGGTGTTTGCTTGTAAAATATATATTCTTCATGCAATATGATAAATTTCTATGTAAATTCGTATTTCCACAAAAATTGTTGTACAATTTATCCAAGACGTTACCCTCTTGGAGATGTGCAAAACTAGAATTCTGCCTGAAGTAAAATGAAACTAGTGGTACCCAATGAGAGTTGATAACAATGAGGTCATCACTACTCTGTGAGGGATACATCAAGTATGGATAAACAATCTTTGGCTGAAGAAAAAAGTCTTGACCCCTTGAAGTTCGCATTGGTGACTGGCTTAAGCGACAGCGTAAATCTCTATCGTTTTGCTTCTAGAGATTCACGAAATGTTACTATTACAATAACTGCACATTTTCCGATCTTATAATTAAGTTTTATCCTTTGAATTCAAGTATTTTTCAGAATGAACTTTTACTCTTAATAGATGGACTTATTTGCACAATACTTCTGTCCTGTGTTAGAAAATAGAATTTTGTAGGTATCAAACATTTGCCACGAACGCTCATCTTCTATTGTAACGTCTAGATATAAACACATAATGCAAAACAAAATTGGCTAGAACAGCTATCATAGTCATATCATGAAAAAAGTGTCATGAAAAGTGAGTGCAATTTGGAACTGGTTGTGTCGGATGTATGACGAACGATAGCTATATAATTGACCGCCCTTATGGCGCAAGCGGCCTATCTCCTGCAAAGCTTACCATGCTTTTAGTCTAGTACCATCATTTATCATTAAAATTAAGACCATTGTGCTGATTATCTTAGACCAAATCATGATAGAAACCTTTTTAAAAATTTAGCATTAGCTGTAAATGGCGACTTGAATTTAAAATTTGGAAAAAACATTTTATTTACGAAATATGACAAACATCTTTCTACAAAACTGATTATTATTGCCGGAATATTTATGTTGTTTTTTATCTGCACAATTTAAGCTTT